AAGAGGATTAAAGGAAGCCAAGTGTCTTCCAGCATAAATGCGGAGATAAAATCCTGAAAGATTACTGGCTGATCCGGCATGTTGAAGGTCACTAATCAAATGATAACAGAAAGATTTGATGCAAGGGCAATCGATGAACAGATGACGATGGTAATGGTTAGGTCATGTTTTCAAGATGTCAGGAGACCAAAATATTAAGAATGCTCTAATACGGGCACCAGCAAAAAAAAAAGCCTAGCAGGGGACACCAAGAGAGACTTGGTGGAGAACTATTAAAAATGAAACAAAAACCGTTGTATTTATAAATACAGTTAAAGCCTGGAGAGAAACAAAACTTGTAGCTAGAGACAGAGTAACTTGGAGTGCAAGATAACATAGCCGTACAGGCCGCTTTCAACTCTGTCTACCTGATCATGAAAACACACAACGTTTTAATTAGCCTTGGGAAATTTCTAGCTTTAACTCCTTTTTCAAAATTAACTAAATCAATGAAACGTTTTAATCCACTCTTTCGGCAATCACTGTACTTAAAATTTTACCTTACTTTACTTTACTTTTGTCAACAATGTCCACAACATAAGGCCGTCTAAAACGTGTTCTGTTGATTTTTGTGTCACTGACTAGAAAGTAACTTACTAAAATGGTACAGAATTCTTGATTTTTTGGGTTAATGTTTTGTCGTCAGCTAGTGGAGTCATGGCATGAATGACTGAGCAAAAATTAACAGCGATGAATTGCACTGTTAAACAGATTTGAAGACTGGAGTCTGATGACGACGTGATTTTCACTTTCTCAGTAATCTATCAATTTTCGAGGAGCACAACACCTTGCAGTGGCTTCCCTATACTTTCAGTTCCAAAGCAACAGTTTTTTAAAAACTACATAACTTTAGAGGGAACAACACAGGCATATATTACTCACATTATTGTAAAATGAAGTTGCAATCTCATTTTTCGCAATATTTCTTATTTGATGATAGAAATCTGAAGCCTCTCTTCTGCAACGATTAAGCTAAAATATTAGTATGTAGTGTTCGTTTAAGAAAAAGGTGAATTTTAGGACTTCGTCAGATGTCGATATTTATTTCACGAATTTAGGCAATTCAATATCTTTCAGTTTCGGGTTGTAGGTTTTTATGCTTTCCGATTTTACATTTCATTCTACAAATTTCGTCGAGCAAAGGTTTCAACTTCTGCTGATGTTTTGACACTATCGTGACACTAGTTTAATTACTTAAAAGTTAGAGTTTTACTTACTGTTTTGACCCAACGTAACAAATCTTGGAGTTCACGAGCGAACTTGACCAACAAACTATAAGAGAAAACAAGCATATCAAATGTCCGCTTAGCAATCGCCATCAGCCAGAACTTTGAGGAAAATCCATGTTGATCGTCTGCCATGACGTGGTGACCGACAAAAAGATAATTCAACCAGATGTTTATTTACTGACATCATGGCAAGTTCGTTTCATAGTTGTCTTTTCATATCTAAATGCCAGGAGATGCAGTTATTGTTAAATTTCTGTTTTCAGGGATGCAATAATTTTTTGAAAGTGTTTCCTTTGCATTAAAAATTTCAGGATAATTACAGAGCATGCAGATAGAAACTGAACTCTGCTCCAAGTAGCGTTTTCCATAACCAAGTACTACGAAAATAATTTTGAGAAAATTACAATATATGGCAAATAGGTACCATACCGGGGTGTTCTTCTTTGGGGCAGCAATTAATATGGCTGCCTTCAAGTTGTAACTAGATTTTATCAGTCATATCAGTACCTTCCTATTCATTCAATTATTATATCCCGTCTGAAAATTTAAAAGCAAATGCATAAAAATGTTCGATTTCTCGACAACTCAGGAACATTATGCAATAATACTAGCTTAATCGTATCTATAACAAAATTCTCGATCGTGATTGGTTTTCCATGCGCCTTATGTCATGTATCACGCGATCACGCGGGCGTCCAACCGTTTTCTAATTGGATACCCTGTAATTCGCACGTCAATTACGCTCGCTTTAATGGCTTTCTCCGCAGTGCTTCCTGCAGTTTTCAAAACTTATAAAAGCGCAGCAGAAGTTCTCAATTCCGAAATTTATTATAGATACGTTTAATTAGTAACTGGACCTCGTGTCGTACAATTCATGGAGTAATCGTCCTCGTAATTTCAAATCTGCCAATATTATCAGGAAATCTGTATTATACTATATCACAATTTTATCATACTAGACTTCTGACTGTATCAATTGTTTGAAAGGAAATAGAGCGCCTTTAAGACTGAATTAAGAGCCTACTCTTTTTTGGCTTGATGCATGACAATCAACAATGATTTAGATAAACATATACAGGCAAAAACTAACGATAGATAAATCCGACGTTTCGGCGACATCTTGGCGCCATTGTCAAGGGAAACTA